TGTGGTTGCCGTATACAGTTGTTTATGAATGCCAGTGTGGTTGCTATGTATACAGTCGGTTGTTAATGCCAGTGTGCTTGCTGTATACAGTCAGTTGTGAATGCCACTGTGGTCTCTGTGTACACAGTAGGGAACAGATGCCAGTGCGCTTGCCGCGCAGTTACAGGCGCCCCCATGGTTCGTAGCCTCTTGGCTGGCGGTCACCCTGGCCCTCCTCACCCTCCCGGCCAGCGTGCCGCGCGCCCGGCAGGACTGCACGCCGTGAGGACGCGCGCTGACGTTTCGGGGTCAGCGGATACAGAACGCTTTCCAGTTCCAATGCAGCTCACGGCAGGCGCCCTTAGCATGGTGCCGCTTGCGGGGCTCGGGCCTGTCCGAGTCTATCACGTCACGTCTCGTGGTGCGTTCCCGTTCTACCCCACAGCTCCGTTTCTCAAGCTTAAGCTGCCTGTCGGGTTGTTTTTTTGATTATTGACCCCAACACGAAGCCTGCTGGTGTATTTCACAAATTGCTACCGGGGACCCGCAAGCGTGCCATTTGCTGTAATTTGTACAAGTGTTTCCTTGTAAACCCAGGACGCGTGAGTCTGCGCGGGCTGCCGTAAAACTTCCCCAGCCTGAGCGTCTACACAGCAGAGGGGAGGGGGCACAGCGCAGGGGTGCTGGGTGCGCAGCATGCACGAGGTCCTGCGTTCGACCCCCAGTCCCCCCACTAAATAAAAAAAGTAGTACTTAATGTTTATATAAAGAAAGAAACAGCACACATTTCTGTCTCCCGGTCCTGGAGGCTGGGATCTGAGATCCAGGTGTGAGCAGGGCTGGGGTCTCCTGAGCCCTCTCCCCTTGGTGTGTGGACAGCCGGCTCCTCCCTGTGTCCTCACGTGGGGGGTCCCTGTGTCTGTGTCTTGTTCCTCATCTCTCTTCTTGTAAGGACCGCAGTCCTGTGGGATCAGGACCCACCCTACTGACCCCATTTTACCTTCATCCCCTCCTTAAAGACCCCCCGTCTCCAAACACAGCCCCATTCCGAGGTCCTGGGGTGAGGACTCCATGTGGGAATCTGGGGGAGACACAATTCAGCCCCTAAGACGTGAGCGGACAATTTGACAGAACCAGGCATCCCGGGGCCCCTGCGTGTGTAGCCAGACCCCGTCTCTTCCTGAGCCCGAGTTTCTGTCTCCCGTGACCTGCTGCCGACTCGCGGGTCACTCAGAACCCGCGCGCGCCTGTGGGCAACCCAGCCTGTGACATCCTCTCCAAGGGTCATCTTTTCTGTGAAATCACTGCATCTCAGGGCTCAAAACTAGTCGTCAGAGGATGGCTTATGGTTTTATGCTTCTGTGCATGGAACTCAGTTGTGCACATTATTCATTTTGGAAAAATGTAACATTATATATTATCATAAAGTCCCAATTTCCTCTCCATCCAGCTGCTTTTTCTTTTAAACATTTTTTTATTGAGTTATAGCCATTTCCATCCAGCTTCTTGATCCTGTAGGGAATTCAATTTTAACACCTGTGTGCACACGTGATGTGTGTGTGTACAAGCTGTGTATAATTATAAATAACTTTAAATATATAAATTATGTCACATATATTTGTGTACATTAGGTAATTATGTGAAGTCTTCTTTTTCTGTCTTGTCTTTAATAAAAAAATTTAAGTGTACTTGATGGACACTATTATGTAAGTTATAGGTGCACAGTAGTGAGTCACAAGTTTTAAAGGTTATCATCCATTTACAGTTATTAAAAAACATGGGCTTTCTTCCCCGGGTTGTACAATGTATCCTTGTAGCTTGTCTGTTTTGTACAAAGTACTTTGTCCCTCTGACTCCCCTCCTCGTCTTGCCCCTCCCCCTGCCCTGTCCCCTCTGGTCACCACTAGTCTGTTCCCTGTAACTCTGTTTCTGTTCTGTTACACTCACTAGTTTGTTGTGTTTTCCAGACCCCACACAGAAGTGACGGCCTACCGGATTTGTCGTCCTCTGCCTGCCTGCCTTCGCGTTGGAGGGGCCTCCAGACGCTGCATCCACTATGAAGGTGGTCGATCGACTGCAGAAGCCATCGGCTCCACTGAGCTGCTCAGGGAGAGAAGGTGAAACGCTGCGGTCAGACCTCAGGGAGCGTCTCCACTCAGGCTGCGGGAGGAAAAGGCTGTGGAGACAGGAGAAAGGAAGGCACTGATTTTTTAAAATTATTTTTTTCATGGGTGAGTCACGAGGTTTTGGGGCTCCAGGCCTCAAGGGAGGGGTGGGTGGCTGGTGGAGAAACCAAGAAACCGCCGTGCTATTTCAGGGGCTGGGGGCGGAGCCACACAGGGAGCCCAGGGTGATGTCACAGGTGCAGAGGTGACCTGCGTGTGTGTGTGGGGGGCCGAGGTGAGTGCTGTTGGAGTGACCAGGGATGCAGAGCAAGGGGCGTGGAGGGCAGCCTGAAGGATCGGGAACCAGTGGAGAGAGAGGTCTCACTCCACGTGGGAGAGGATGGGGGGACCACGGTCCCCTCCACCATCTCCAAGCTCCACCCCTCAATGCTACCTTTCAGTTCTGCACACACACCTGGGAGACGGGTCCAAGCTGCCGCAGAGAAGGGAGTCAGGTGCTCATATGGCCTCGACGGGGACCTGGGACGTAAGCCAGCCAGCCAACATCAGGACATCTGTGAAGTATGTTGTTATGTGTACTGTATATTACGTACAACACATATAAGAACACATACACTGCCTAATGAATACAGAATCACGACACACTATGTGTGTCATGTATTGATTTCTGTGTATTGACTATACATCTGTTATGTGTAACAAAGTACATTAGACATATATATGTATAATACATGTTAATTATACACAATGTTACATAACAGGTAAGTGTGTTACATTACATATAATTAACATAAGTATGTATGTTATATATTATGTATAACAGCATATAAGTATGTTATATAATAGTATGTTCGTTATACATAATGGTTAAGTGTGCTACACACTAAGATGTTAATTATACATATAAGTATGTTATATATATTAACAGTATGTACATATGTTACATTATACATAATGTTAATTATACATAATTATACATATCATTAACAGTATATACCATAATTATATATCATGAACATTATCATTAACATTAGTGTGTAACACTTACCTATATTATGTGTAACTAACACACCAGTGTATAGCATACTTATATATTATGTACAATTAACACATTATGTAACATACAAATGTGAATATGTATACTATGTAACATACTTTTATGTATAACATAATACTAGTGTGTAAAATACTTATAATTATATATGTTAGACATGTGTGACGCTTATGTATAATTAACATTAGTATGTAACATACTTGCCTCTTATGTATAAACATACTATGTAATATACTTTTATATTATGCATAATTAATATTAGTATATAATGTACTGATAGGGCTAACAATTGCATATAACATACTTATATACTAATCTTGTTATACATAATATAAAAAACAGTATGTAACATTTATTATGTATAACAAACTTGTGTATAACATCAGTATGCAATTTACTGATATATTATTAACATATTTATATATAACAGTTAATGTGTATAATTAATGTATTCATATATAACATATATTTTGTATAACATAACAGTAAGATATATAATTAACATATTAGTATATAACATATTTATACATAATATTAATAGACAATATGTAATTTAAGTATTAGTACATAATATACTTCTATATAATTAACACTAGTATGCAAACCTACTTACATATTATGTGTATCATACTTATTATGTGTAATTAACAGTATATAACACATGCTAATGTTAATTGTACATAAGTGTTATATATTATGTATGATTAACAGCATGTAAGTTATATACTAATGTTAATTACACATAATATATGATTAACATTAGTATTTAATATACTAATGTTAATGAAATATAATTATGCTATATACTAATATGTTAGTGATAGACACTGTTAATTATATATATGTTACATACTAGTATTATGTTATATATAATGTAGGTGTGTTATACACATACATTATGTATATTATATACCATATTATGTATAATTAAAGTATGATACACAGATTATGTTATACATAGTAAGTGTATATGTTAATGATATATAATTATGCTACATACTATTATGTTAATGATATGTATATGTCTAACAATTATTATGTATAATTTGCAACATATTTACATACTAATGTTTATATATTATATAACATGCTTATATGTATAGTTAACATTTAGTGTGTAGCAC